AGTTCCTGCATGATGTGGCCTTTTAGTCTGTAATTAATTTATCTGTTTGACCAAAGAGGGTAATACTGAGTGAAGACAATAAAGGATAAGCCAACTCGGTAATACCCCTTAAAAACCAATAGCTGCTGCAAAGTTAAGTTTCAGACCCTACGATCTAAAACACACTCTGAATCAAGCCTTAAGAGGGTCTGCAGATAACTGGGTACAGTTTGATGTGTGGAGTGGGGCAAGGATAAAGAGGCATGAGTTGGTGAGAAATCTGCCAAGCCCTGATCTTTAGAAGCTTTCACTAAGGTTGTCATAAAGATATAGGTCACATCAAAACAACTGCCTGTTTTCTTGTAGGCAGCAGAGGGGTAAATTTAAGGGGAATTACATTATACACTTCATAAAACAAGACTTACTGAAAGCCGTCTTTTTGCATTTTCTCCCCCCAAACCCCATTCACCTTATTTCTTCCTCCCTTTCTCATACAAAACTAAAGAAACCCTTTCAGTATCTTGGTTGTAGCTCTCTTCCTTTCTCTCCCTTTTGTATCTTCTTTCTATAATCACTTCTTATCTTTCTTAGGCAAATCGCTTATCCCTTTTTTATTACTATAATATTGTACTGTTGTCTGGTGCTATACTAAGTATTTCACTTGCATTATCTCATCTAATCCATGTAGCCATCTTATTATCCCTGTTTCCAAATGGAGAAACTCTGGGATGTCATGTGACTTGTCCAAAGCCACATAGCTCCTAAATTGGAAAGCTGAGACAAGATCCCAGGCTGATTTGGGTTTGCCAGGGCTCCCAGGCCTGTGTTCCTAGATTCTCTGCTGTGATATATGTCCATTATAGAACCTGGCAAGAAACACAAAAGTAAAAATATGCTTTTTAAAACACCCATAATCTCTATATCCACAAAGAACTAGAGCTGAAACTTTATTATCTTTCCTTTTGGTTATTTTAAATGCATAATGAAAAGAAATTTTACCTTTTAACACCAGCATTTGGTGATCAGTTTTTCTGAACTGATATCCTTAAAATATGTGTAAAATCACAAAGCTTATTTTACAACAGAAAATACTTTTAGATATTACGTTATTTTAAATCATATCTTCAAAGTGGAACAGATAATTTGTCAGATATTATTTGACTTTTCAATGATACTATATCATGTTCCAGAATACTTACTTGTTTAATGCAAAATTTAGGTGTGATTCTGTCGACATGTTAATGATAAAAATATCCTTTTTTTTTTCAAAGACATTTTCTGCAAGGAAATATAACAGAATTCTTTTTTTTTTTTATAACAGAATTCTAAAGAAAAGGAGGCAAGGAAAAGCTTAAAATTAGCCTTTTAATCTCTTGGATAGTTATATTTCACAAAGTGAATATTGTAGACTTATATTTGAAACAGCAAGCACTGAAAAAATGAAATCACCAACTTAGTTGCATGGCTAGAGGGGAGAGAAAAGGTTTATGCAAATAAATTTCTAATACATATCAGGAATGTGATAAAGGCTGTACTCTTTATTGGGGACAAAGTAATACTTGAGTCTGAAGTTAGTGATATATTTAGGTTTCAAAACAAATGCAAATGGTGGCTTTGTTCACAAAGATTATCTAGTAGTAGTGAAAGCAAATTAATTTTAAATAACTATGACCCTCTAGCCAGATGCTATTGCAACTGATTGAGAGGAACGGAAGTTGAGTGCTCTACTTTGGCTTGATTTTCTTTCCTCTATATTTTGAGAATTTGAATATATAAACTCTTCCCCTCACATCCCTATTGTTTTTTTTTTTATTTAAAACAAGCAATTCTGAGGAACTCTGTATCAGAAAAAAGGCAAAAACAGGAATCATGTCCATGTTCCTGTCCTCAACAACATTGTGACCTTGTCAGTAAATTTCATCATCTGTAGAATGAGAATCAGTGTTTCAGAAATGGTAGGGTTTAAGTGCCAGTGAATAAATGAAGTGACTAGAATGGTATTCAGCACATAGCCAGCCCTCCTAAAATTTCCATTTCCATCCTGTTCACCTTTCAATAAGTCCTTGAGCACAGCATCTTTGACCAATCAATAGCTGCAACTCTCATATGTACTGTACACTACAGTTCACACATATACCCATATGCATTGCCTGTCTGTCCTCTAACTCTGGGCACACTTAAGTCTCTTTTCATGGGAGACTGAGATTCAAAGAGATGAAGTGACTTGACCATGGTCATGCAGCTGGAACTCTAATCCAAGTGTCCTGAAGGCTAGTTCAGTGCTCTTTTCACTGCACTAAAATTGCCTCCTTCTTCCACATGTTCAGGAAAAAAACGTCCAATTTAGGCTGTGATGTCCTCACCCCAGCAATTGACAATTAAGGATTCCACTGTATACAAAAGGAAAAATTTAGTACAGTGTGACTAGATACAGCATATAGAATTTTTTTTAAATGTCAGCCACTCCCTTCAATGGAAAGCAGTGTTTTAAGATATGATTAATATTCTGAGCATAGGGTGATGGTAAACACTATGTGTTTGCATTATTATGAGATGACAAAATTACCCACTCTCAAAGGACCAGCTGCTGCAGGGCGGCTGGCACCCGTGTTGCCTACATTCTCAAAACCATTTTAATTGGTAATTTTCCATGGTGGGTGTTTTTTTTTTTTTTTGTCAGTCGGAGAGGAAATGTGTAAACGTATTAAAGACATAGCATCTGTTATGATGAAATGACATCATTGAATCTTAATAAGTTAAATGTTTCACCTCAGAATTTTGAAGCTAATCAGGGTTCTCATTGAGACAAGAGTCTCTATAACTCAGCTCCCCAAATAGGTATAGAGAAGTTATGGGGGGAAAATTATAGAAAAATTCTTCCCATACTTTTTGTATAATATTTCCACTACCATGTTATAATTTTGAATTGAGGTACACAATTTGCCACATTTAGATGTACATGATCCTAAGAGGAGAGAGCCCAACTTTTGAAATTGGAAGACCTAAAATCATATCTAATCTCTATCCAAATTGCTAACAGCTTTAGACAAAGAACTTGAGCACTTGAAACAATCCTCATTTCTGTAATGTGGATAATGTCTTATTCACAAGATTATGGAAAGGATATAACACCTAAAATAATACAAATCAAATTTTTCAGTGCTACCAATAACCATTTATTAGGTGCTCGTTACATACCAGACTCTTTGCTAAAGATTTACATGTACATAATCTCATTTAATCTCCCCATAAGTAAGTATTTATTGTAGATATTACTATTATATCTATTTGTAGATGTGAACATAGAGGCTAAGAGGCTAATTATCAGTGTTTACAAACAGGAAATAGAAGGCCTAGTAATTGAATTTAGCCTTATTATTTCATTCATTTAACAAATATTTGCTAAGGAATGGATGTCCTGAGCAAAGCAGGCACTGTTGGGATAAAGGAAATGGGGAATGGAAGGTGAATAAGAAACCAATCATATTCACTTTACCCTGGCCACTGTATGGAGAATGCATTAAAAGTTGGCAAGAGAGAATCCAGGGGGAAGAGGTAGAAGCTGTAGAAATAATCCAGGTGAGAGATGATGTTGACTTCAACCAGGGGGCAGCAGTGCAGATTAAGAAATATGGGTAGGAAATGGAGGGTATTATGCTGAGTGAAGCAAGTCAATTGGAAGAGGACAAACATTATATGGTTTCTTTCACTCATTCGGGGAATATAAAAAATAGTGAAAGGGATTATAAGGGAAAGGAGAGAAAATAAGTGGGAAATATCAGAGAGGGTGACAAAATATGAGAGACTCCTAAGTCTGGGAAATGAACAAGTGATAGTGGAAAGGGAGGTGGGTGGGGAGATGGAGTGACTGGGTGATGGGCACTAAGGGGGGCACTTGACAGGATGGGCACTAGGTGTTATACTATGTGTTGGCAAATCAAACTCCAATAAAAAATATACAGAAAAAATTAAAAAATATATGTTTACATGTAAAAAAATGTGGATAGGTTGCAGATATACTTGGCAGGTAGATGTGAATGTGTGGTGGTGGGACAAGGAAGTTAAGCAAGGTTAATCCCTTATTTTTTACTCTGAGCAACACAGTAAACTGAAATGGGAAATACTAGAGTGCATATTCATAGTGAAGGAAGGATATCTTTCAGTCTCAAGCCTTGTATGTTTAACCATTATTAATTTTTTTACTAATGATCATGAATATAAAAGAGATTTGAAGTCCATAGCTACATAAATACAAATTACCTAGGCAGTTTTATAGAAAAGTCAAATTGTTCCTTCCCAAGAGAAAATGCCCAAAAGGAGAGTTTAGTTACTATAATTCTTGGCTTTCAAATTAAATACTTAAGGCAAAGATTATCTGAGATTTTCTTTGAATTTTTTGAAATCTGAACTTTAGCATCTATAATACTGTAAGATGAATTTGAGTGGGGGCAGGGGGTGGGGAGAAAAAAAACACAGGAAGAGAGTTTACCAGAAAGCTAACTGGTTTATTTTAGATGATTGGATCATGTATATTTTTTCTTCTTTCTACATTGTTACATTTTTCAGATTTTCTAAAATGACTATATATTACCTTTTTAAGTAGCAAATTAAAAATTCAAGAAAAATTAATCTATAAGATTACATTTGGTATGTCTGCATAATCCATAGTAAATTCTAAGAACCACTGCAATCATAACCCTCAGTCAAACCAGTTAAAACCAATCAAAATAATGATGTAACTGATAGAGGCCTTAAAATATGTCCTTCTAACTGCAACCTGTGCAGACGCTCACTGTCCCAGGGGACTGGAGTATCAGATGGGGCCTGACCAGTAATGCAGTCTATTTGGAAAGGCTGGGAAGGCTGGAGAGTTCACTTGAATAGTTTCCTCCAAATAGAAACATCTTAAAATTGCTTATGCTCTTTGCTACCCCACTTCTTAAGGTTAGCTACCAATGATAATATTCTTTAAGAAAGCTTCCTAGCCACCCCTAACTTTTACCTCTTTTCCTTTCTTTCAGGGTCAATGATTGTATCCTGCGGGTGAACGAGGTTGATGTGTCAGAGGTTTCCCACAGTAAAGCGGTGGAAGCCCTCAAAGAAGCAGGGTCTATCGTGCGACTGTACGTTCGTAGAAGACGACCCATTTTGGAGACTGTTGTGGAAATCAAACTGTTCAAAGGGCCTAAAGGTAAAAAATAATAAAAAAAAATAATAAGTAACTCACCATAAGACGCCTGTGACAAATCATTTGGCTAAAATGTATGCCATAATAGACCTATGATGTATTCTCTTCTTTTATGCTGTGACATTCAGTGCTTACCTAGAGATTTGAAATCGTGCAATAGGGGTTTATACAGAAGGTCAAGGAAATCAATACTCTAAATACAAACTCAGGGAAAGAAAGGACAGATTTATTTAGGAATCCTTATAAGCAATGTTCTTATAAATATAAACCATTTGTATTTTTCTATAAATTTTTAATCTTATTGTATCATCATAACCTCACTGGCATATAAATTCTAATTTTTAAGATATAAATGGTAACTCCTCATTTAGTGAAACAGTAATATGAATAATAATAATTAAACCAGTTTATCCTGAAATAACAATTATTATATTTTGATACTACTGTTGTGATTTGTTTCGATTTGTAATGGTCATGTGTGTTACACCCAACAAGTAATACATAACATTTTATACTTACAATAGTCAGAATAAGTTAAAATTTATTTTTTTTAAATGCTCACAAATTGTGAGGTAATTGTGCTTACCCTGGGGAATCACATGAACAGTGAAATGAATTAGTACACTAATTTTTAAAATAGTCATTTGAGCTCGGCTCTTTAGAATGATGACATTTAATATTAGCTTAACAGTATTTCAAATATTTTAGAAAAATCCAATAATTGGCTTAACAGTATTTTTAAATACTTTTAGAAGATTATGACTGGATAGTTACTATATTGAGTAAATCATTTTTCTTTCTTTTAAAATCTACTTAATTTCTAAGGTTGTATGAGATTAAAAAGGAAATAACGTACAGTGCCTTCTCTGGAAGGCAGTAATGGGTAGTATTTAAGATCTCAGATCCAAGAGTTAGGACAGAGTTTAAAAGCTTGGTTCAGCCGCTTACCGGCTGAGCGATAGTGGTTGGACCAATCCCCTCATTATTAAATGGGGATCAATGGGGATCTGTCCCAGATACTACCCAAATACAGATAAACCCTGTCCATGGGGTTTATGAAAATTAAACATTTAACTAAATCTTACTCGTTAGAAGTGTAACCTCCAAAGCCAACGAGCTAGGTTAGAAACCCCTCCTCTATGGCTCACCAGCTGTTTGTGATCAAATTGCTTAACCTCTCTAAGCCTTAATTTTCTCATCTACATAATGCAGATACTAATAGCATTTGCCTCTATAAATGTGAGGATTAGATGAGCCTATTCACATAAAACATTTAGAAGAGTGGCTGGCCCAAACTGAGTGCCAAATAAATATTACCTATATATATACATGTTATTTGTAGTATTGTTTACTACAAATAGTTTCAGCTCTTGCTACAATTGCTTGGTAATGTAATGAAAATATACAAATATGCCTCATGGGCTAAATTCAAATGCATTAAAATCACATAATTAAATCTGGAAAAAAATACAATACTTGCATACCACAATGTCTGGAAGTATGAAAGAAGAGGCTTTCTAACCTCTACACATTTACTAAAATCATATTTACAAGGTGCTTTTAAGATAAAGTTTGAGCATCACATTGTTTCTATTAAAAAAATAATGTGCTATTTATAAATAACATGTAGGTATTTCTACAATTCAATTAGCAGCAATTATTCAGCACAGCCCTAAAGCAAATACCACTCTGAAGCACTCAGCAAATTATTAGCGTCCATTAACAGGCCTCCTGTTAGCTGAGTCACTTGATGACCTCCAGCTGCTCAGCAGAGCACTTCAAGGTGCCAAAACTCCTTAATTTAATCAAGAATAGATTTTTTTTTCTGGGGGGGACCTTTATCTTTGAAACTAGGGCCCCCTCTGGCTGATTTAGTTCAGTCTGAACTGTTTTCTCCTTTGAGCAAAGAGTAGGATAGGAATTGCCCTATGACAGAAAAAGGGGGAAGTGGGGACAAGTAAGCATAATCCACCAAGAATACCTAGGCAATAACCTAAAAGTGCATGGCATAGGAATAATAGGTTTGGTCTACTGAGACATGAAGAATCAGGAAACTATTATTAGAACTAACCTCATATCCCAGGAAGCAGGCTCCAACAGATCCCTATAGAGGGGTGTCCCATTGGGATTATGTTGATTCAATCATACATTTCTGTACTGTCACCACTGAGGGGTCACTAATAGGGATTTATTTTTCTATATAAAGTTATTGACACATGAGAAAAGAAAAGATGTTAATTAGTCATCGTTTAAATTCCTAATGCCTTTCCCAGTGCCTTAGACACAGGAAGTGCTGAATCAGTAAACTGAATAATTAAATTAGATTCTACACTAAATAGGATGATACTTTGCAATGTTAACATCACTTGGCACCTTATAATTCTTAATTCTTTGCTTTTGAATGATGATATATTTAAAATAAATTTCTACCAATGTTGAGCTCACACCATGGAAACACTCATGCAACAGGGAGGATGAAGATGAATCAGATGTGATTCTGCTGGAAGAATCAGAAAGTTCTCATGGGAGAGAAAGACATAAAGTCAACTGCTTTAATGCAAGGCAAAATCAAATCAATTCTGTGATGGAGCATGTGTCATGGTTTATCTTAACCAAAAGAGACAAAATGTTCCAGTACATTTAAAATTTTAACACATGCCCACAGGTCTTTATCTATGCTTGTTGAGCACATGGGCATTCTCTATAGTCAGCATCAACTCTCTAGCCAACTGGGCTAACTAGCCTCAATGATATGTGTATAATACAGAGCTAGCTTGAGGTGTTCATCAATGTAGTCCTTCAGTGATTCAAATAATATTAGGCATTTATTATGTTCCTGGCACAGAGACTAACAGGAGAGACTCATGAAAAAAAGTAGAAATGGTTCTTGTTCAAGGGGAGGATAGCCCTTTCTAGAAAATACATATAATGTAAATTGGGAAACATGCTAGAATGAATGTTAAAGATTATAAAGTGGCCAATCAAATAGAGAGTCAAAAAAGACTTCTTTAAGAAAGTGCCACTTCAGGAGCAGCCTGGGTTGCTCAGCAGTTTAGCGCCACCTTCGGTCCAGGGCGTGATCCTGGAGACCTGGGATTGAGTCCCATGTCAGGCTCCCTACATGGATGGAGCCTGCTTTTGTCTCTCTCTCTCTCTCTCTCTCTCTCTCTCTCTCTCTCTCTCTCTCTCTGTGTGTGTGTGTGTGTGTGTGTGTGTGTGTGTCTCATGAATAAATAAATAAAATCTTAAAAAAGAAAAAGAAAAAAAAGTGCCACATCAGCTAAACCTTGAAAGAAAAAGAAAAATAGAAGTTAGCCAGAAAAAAAGTGAAGGAGAGCATCCAGACAGACATAAAGGAATGTATGTATAAAGGCCCTGACAAAGATCTTGATACCTTCCAGGAACTGGAAGAGTTAAAGGTTATCCCAGTCACCAAATTAAAAAAGTTGTGACTGATGTTTAATAATAAGATAATGAGTGACATAAAATGATATTGTCAAGGTAAGTGGGGTCAGATTATGCAAAGCCTTGCTGATTTTATTTCAAGTGCAGCAAGAAATTACTGCAAAATTTTCAGCCTAGGAGTGACATGATCAAATTAGCCATTTTCAGAAGATCATATGGCTGCTGTGAAAAAAATGCATTGAAGGGGCATGAGTGGAAACAGAGATCAGGTAGGAGTTACTTGGAGAAAGTTGAGAAAAATGGATAGAGTTGAGCTATATATTGGAAATAGGATTGATGCCACTTATTGCTGTAAATGTGGGGTGTGTCTAAAGATGAGGCCCAGTTTTCTAATGAAGCAATTGAATGGATTAGGGTGCCATCTATGAGATTAGAAAGACTGGGGAGGAACCCCTGTGGGGAGAAGAGTAGGAATTCACTTTTGAACATGTTGAAAGGACTGTGATGCATTTGAAAAGGAGATCTAGGAGGCATAATTGGAACATATCTGTCTGAAATCCCAGTCAAGGTAATATTCAGAATTTACCCTATATTTTGTCAAGTATCTGGAATTGGAGAAATATCTGAATACTGACTTTCTCACTTTATATTAAAGATTCATCAATAATCTTTAATATAAAAAATGGTGAATATGGATACATTAACTGTTTTGAACAGTTATAATAAAAAATAAGAATCTGGGCAGCCCGGGTGGCTCAGCCACCTTCAGCCCAGGGCGTGATCCTGGAGATCAGGGATGGAGTCCCACATCAGGCTCCCTGCATGGAGCCCGCTTCTCCCTCTGCCTGTGTCTCTACCCCCCCCTCTCTGTGCCTTTCATGAATAAATAAATAAAATCTTAAAAAAAATAAATAAAAATCTATTTTATAGATAGTCTTAATGCCCGACTATTTTTGTTTTAGAATTGTTTTTGGTTTTGTTTATTTGTGTTTTTTTTTTCTGGTTATATAAATACAGTGTTAAGGGATCCTTGAAAAATAATTTGTGATATAGCTAAATGTATAGTTTTCTAATTCCATACCCTTATGTTTATTCCATAATTGTACAAAGTATTAATTCTGAAATGACCTTTAATACGTGATTCTGTCCTATAGCAGTGCTGATCTTCCCAATATTCAACTAGAATTATCTGGCTGGTGATTTATGGCTATGTATTTCAGTAATGAATATTTGGGTAATATGCACTAATAATTTAGAATGTCTTTTCCTAATATGAAAAATGGATTTGGTCATTGCAAGCAGCTGGGGTGTCTGTTTGTGGACAGTTTAGGAAAAAAAAATGGGTAATCATTATAGGAAGTAGTGATTAGGCAAATTCATTTAAATTTGCCAAGCAACCAAAAATATGCAAGGAAGAAAATCTGAAGTGGGCATATGGTTTCCCAGGAAATTGGCTTACAATAAAAGTCTTTTCTAGTGACTTTCCCAAGAACACTCTAAGTCATAATTTCTAAGAAGCTGTATAATTAAACATGTGCATACTTGTTTCTGTGGCCTGAGCCAAGAAAGCCTTAACCTATATAAGAAAAGAGATGTCT